AGCTCCAAATCCACAAAACCAGCCTGAAAATGAAGGAAATCTGAAACGACTGCATTAGAGTCAATGGAGCACAGGTGTGTTGTTGTCTGACCCTGAGCTGAGCCGGTAAGTAGCCCCTTTCACATTACAGATAAACCTGTTATTAATGTATAAGTATTGATTAGTGCAGCTTTGAATGAAACAACAGCCTGGGAGGAAGAGCTGCAGGGAAGTATATGTTTTTCAGTTGTGGTGAAAACTAGTGGGTTTTTCATTGATATATATGCACTTCATATAGTGAATAGAACAGGATGTATGATGAAGTGACTATTCAGTAACAAGCCGACGCCCTGTGTGTCTTTCCTCCTCCATCTTAGTCGAATAACATCATCAGGCAGATGGTCTACATTATAACCAGGTGGGGAAAATGAACAGGAGTCTGCGGTCTGACTTCATTCATGATGAAACCTCGTCAGACGCTGATGAAGCTTTGATCAGCGGCGCGGCCCGGCCCCCTCTCTGCTGTTTCTTAGATTTACTCCCCTCAGGTAAGAAGGCTTATTTGTGTGGAGCTGGTGTTGTGGTCACAGCCTTGTAAACACCACTCGCTGTGGCTTTGTTGGCTACTGGCCAGGCCTTGTTACCAGTACGTGTGTTTGTGCATTAGAGTGGGTTTACATCTGTGTGTGTGTGTGTGTGTGTGTGTGTGTGTGTGTGTGTGTGTGTGTGTGTGCACTCCTGTGAAATCCGTAGCATAGCTGGGCCAACTGGGCCTTGCTAAATTGTAAGTAAAAGCATATTCCCCACAAGGGACAGAGAATTATCTTTAAAGGGAAGTAGGCCAGATGCCGCACATATGTCTGCATATTATATATACTTATGCATACTGTACAGCCCTGCTTTATGGGCCAGTTTATGGTATGTTACCGGAAACAAAGGCTCATCTCTCACTTAAGACACAGGAATTGTCCTACATGTGAACTAGGCCAGATACTGTGTGTGTAAATGTGAAGGGGCACCCCCGTTTTGAGTTTACATTTTGGGAGCAGCCAGGTCGGGACATTTGACGACTCATCCCGTCACCTCAGAGACCTCACTGCCCTAAACCTTCAGCTCACTTGCATATCAAAACCTGCATTTCCTACAGAACCCCAGGGTGCAAACATCTCTTGTTAGTTACGGTGCCGACACAAGAGAGTCAACCGGTCCAACATATTCCTCCATCGCAAATTATGCTCCACTCGCTAATGTGCAAGATTGATTCTTGCTCATGTCGCTCTGGGCCTGTTTCTTATAGTTGGTGTGTGGCCGTGCTCACCAGATCCCATGAATTTATTTGACTTTTTCTTACATGTAATTTACATAGAAAGTTCTTTAAAGGGCAGCGCTAGTATAATTATTATCATTATTCATTATATTATTCCGAAAATTCAAATTTTGGTTGAAGTATGCATGTTTTAGCCTCAACATGCTATTTTCCTCTAGCAACTTTTTGCCCAAGTGACGTGATGTCGGTTTCTGTATGATGTCGTCGCTACATATAAAACCATGTACTGCTGTGGATGCCATGTTAGTCCTTTTCCGAAAGTCACACAGTAACAGACAGATTAAACAGATGAGTTGGCGGTAAACTAGCAACTCACTGTGTGATGTGAGGTAAAATTCCTGTTTCTGTCAATGGAGTCTGGTGGCTTTGAAGTAGGGCTGCCCTCAAATAGCCGATCAATCATTAGTCGACTAGAAGGGTCATTAGTCTGCAAGATTTCACTGGTCGCTAAGTCGCAGAAAACTTACAAACAGACAAACGTGAAACTTTATTAAGAGCTGTGCAGGAAGAGGCCACGCTCAGCAGTCAGACAGGAGTCAGGGTACAAACCAATCACAGCCAACAGATATCTTTCCCTTCTTCTGTAAATAGTCAAAAGTTGATCATGTTAGTGCAGGGCTACCCAGAGCTTTACATCTGTCCCACGGACGATAGGCCTGTACACTTATAAACAGCTCGTGGAAGAAGATCAGCTTAGCACAAGAGTAGCGCCCAGTGCCCGACCTAGAAGGTGAAGCACGAACCCAAGGTGATATGTAAACTCATCTTCATTGGTCGACTACAAACATGACGTATCATCTGAAACATGGAAGTAGCTACATGCCCATTAGCCCACAGCGTCATTAACAGGCGGCTCGCTCAGTGTGTGACGTGCACTTGTAGATAAAATATAGGCCTATATTAATGAAGGTTCATTAGTACGGTTTTGGATTTCTCTGTAATGTAGCACAGTGTTAACAATGTTACTGATACTATTCTTTCTTACACCTTCAACTCAAACCATTGTGTTGCCCTGCCTAAAATACATCATTTAGTAATTAGATTAATATCGTAAACATGCAGGCGACTAGTAGACTAATGGCCCTAAATGAAGACTATTGGTCGACTAGGAAAATAGTTAGTCGGGGGGCAGCCCTTGTGCATTGCTTAGCTTTTTGTGTACCAATACTCCTGACTGCTTCTTCACACTGGAAGCTGACTATGGATCTATTAATGTGTTTATACAGTACAGATTGCAGTATTATACTGAATATCAATGTATCTTCATCTGGTTAAATAAAGACGTAATAACACCATGTTCCACCTCCAAGCTCAAATCTTCCAAGCTAACACTTTTGTCACTCTTGGTTCTCACTGTCAGCGAACAGCATGTGGCATGATGGGGGTGGGGGTAATATGGGGTATTAGCGCTGTAACCAGCGTAACCACTTTGTGATAATGGTTGTGTGGGATTTCAGTTTGAAAAACACAGAAAAGAACACAGATGGACCCGCCCCTTAAATGCTCATAACCCTTTTCCTAGCTGTCTAAACTTATCTTTAGCTTCATACATTCAGCATCAAGGTGTTTCTGCTTGGTGGATTACATGCTATTTGACTATCTATCAAATATATGTTGAGTTTCTTTGTTCTCCACTTTTCAGCATATTTTAAGTTCCCCTTTCCCCTTGTAAATTAGCTCCAGACAAAATGCCAAAGACACTACTTTCTCTCCTATAGCAGCTAATGGCCTTCGCTAATGTGGAGAAGGAGAAAGGGAAACACACTGTGAGGCCCTGCCCTGTGATTAGGAAGCATTCCCATCATGATTAATGAGGCTCCAGGACTAATGTTCCCCCCCGACACCCGAACAGCACCTGGCCATGTGTCACTGTCAGACCACAATCTGGGTCAAAGCACATTACTGTGACCAAAACTCACAGCCTGAAAAACACAGATAAAGTGCTTTCCTGCTCCCGTCTGCTGCACATTGTCAAACACACGGCGATCCGGTCGGTTCCGAGGACAACGTTTAGAGAAAACTATTGAAGCTGATGAATAATACTCCCACTACCAATCTCCACTCTCACGCACACACAGATGATCCAACCCGTTCACCGTCATTGTCTAGCTTATGAAAAAGGCATCCTCCAGGGCATGCCAGCAAGTGGAGAGCCTTGATACAAGCTTCCTGCTGCAGGAAATTGCTCTGGTTATTCCCGACAACCCTTATCTCTACCTTTGTGTTGGCCGCACACAAACACACGCAGCAGTCTATTCAAAGCTCACGTAGAAAACACACAACTTGTTCTTTCCTTTTATTAATTATGAGAACGGCTGTTGACTCGGTTGGCCTGCAGCTGAGCTGAACGGGGGAAATCATCTTCTAGGAAATCCCGCCGCAGCAAGCTGAGCTAAGCTGAGCCGAGCTGAGCTGGACAGACACGCAGCCAGCCACGTTTGGATCAAGCTGAGCGGAGCAGAGCTTGGGATGAACTAAGCTGATCAGGGGGCAGGGCTGAGCCGAAAGCAAAGGAGCATTCAGTTGTGAGTGTTTGAATGAGTAATTAGGGTTCTCATGGAGCTCAAATTACCACTCGGTAATCAGAAGAGCAGTGGTTATTTTCAGAGTGAGGGAACACACACTTTTGATTCATGGATGCTCGTCAGGGGTCCTCAGTTTGCATACGCAAGCACATCACAGGTCAGGCTTAATCGTGATTCTGTGGCGTATATGATGGATGATAATGCATCTATCTATTGACAAACTGGTGTATATGTGTTCAGAAAGTGTGTGTAGTTGCGATGCCACATTAAAATAATTATAGAAATGGAGGCAAAAAAAGGTAGCTTTGTTATGAGAGCAAAAAAAAAAGGCAATTAGTGTCTCACGTGGTTGAGTTCATTCCTCGGAAAATCCCTCTTCACTTTCCCACTGATAAGCACAAATTAATTTTTCATGAATCCTTAACTACATCAGTACACTCATTTATAATGAGCCATTATCCAGCTATCAGGCTTATTGCTATACAACACTGTAAAACCTCAGTTTTTGTGTGTCAAGGAGTAATTATACAGAGGATTGTTTTGTTGATGAACAAACAGAATTACTTGTATACTGACATAAACCACTGAACTGGAATCCAATATTGTATTATTAATTAGAGCACAGTCAGAGTAGCTTTTTTATGAGCCAGGGAAATACTTTGTCGTGATATCCACACTGCAGCTGGAAAATCAGTGATGATCAATACAGCTCTGATGCTTTGATGTGTCGCAGGAAGCTGATGGGTCTTTTCTGTTAGACTCTAAAATTCATCGGCAGGATTCATAATAACTGTACTCTAATGTGAAGGCTATATTATAATCTGCACATTCCTTCACAGATGATGGTGACAGGTAACTCAGGATGAGTTACACTGAGGAAATGTTAGGAATGTTGTCTGCAAAGGCTAACAGTCGTTTTATATGGCCTGGTTGGTTTCGATATACAGTTTTAAAAAATCTGATAAAGATATATCGGCAATAGTTTTTATTTAATTTTTTTAATACATCAAATAATGATCGTGTTACGGATCCCTTGAATTTGGTTTTTAACAAAGCGAGACATTTCACAGTTGAAAAAAATCAACTCATAAGTGCCCTCTGGTGGAAAAACTATGTCATAAATGACCACAAACCTAATGTGGCATTTCTGTACAGCAATTCCTTTGTTAGTCATCAACCAGCATAAACACTGACACCAATACATCTGTGATAAACTATCATTTTCATTGTCGATTAATCTGTCGATTACTTATTTGATCAGTTCTATAAAACGTCCGAAAATGGTGATAAATGTCGATCACAACTGAAGGAGAATCTGTTTAAATGGTGAATGTGCTAGGAAAGGTAGTATCGGCACGGTCGCTACCTGGAGCTCGCATAAACGGAGCCTGGGTTTGTTGAAGGTGGCAGTGTTGTTTGGGCTGAGAAAGCCATGTGTAATGTAAGATAAAGGAGGTTGTTGGGTCGGTGCGGGGAGGGGAGCAGTGAGAGCTGGCATTAGGGGAGTGTCTCTGGGATGCCAGAGATCACTGTCTAGCCTCCTGGAGGTGTCGTGGGACCAACTACACGAAACAAAGGAGGTTTCTTTCACTAGAGCACAAACTTCTTGTGTTTATTTGAATGAATTAAAGTCATAGAGGAGTAAAGACACCACCTTAATAAACTACTCAAACCGATTAATTGATTATCAAAATAGTTGTTTTAGCTGTTAGCTGTTTTACTATTTTTCATAGTTTTACATAATAAAAGTTGTTATTTTTTGGGTTAAACACGAATTAAGTGATGAGTAGAGAAAGACAATATTATTGGCTATTACTGGTTTATCAGATATAGTAGATATGCAACGACAAAAATACAAATAGACTTATGTAAATGTTTAAAACAGTGATTTTTCCTATATAAATGACCCTCATTTTTCAAAATAAAATTGTTTCTATATATTTCTGTTTCTATTGATGATTATTATACATAATCTATTTTTTTTTTTACTGTTTTTTACCCTGACACATTTTGCTGTTATTCTTCTTTCTTCAATGTATTGTTCAATCATTAAATACTTGATTAATATAATTTGATGCATCAACTCCTAAAATGTCTGTTTCTGAAATATCCTCCCATATATCACATCCCATATCAGTCAGTGTATAGACAGGCACAGCTGCACAGATGGTTCAGATTAGCGTGACAATCTACCACTGCCTAAATATAGCACACTATCTAAAACAGTGGTGCTCCTGCTGCGTTCCTCCCTTGTTGTTTCTTTAAATGTCTCACTACTACATGAGTGTGTCATCTTTATAAGCATGTGTTATCAGCAGTATGCTCACTGTATTCTTCATATACTGTCAAAGGGATGATAAAGATTAATTCTCCACCCTAAGTCTCTCGTCCTTGAGTGGTCAGAGTAAACCCCAAACCTTTTCAGTGAAGATCATAAATGTTGAATCAGCCTACCTCCTCCCACTGGTGGATGTAACGGATGAGTCTGGACAGCCTCAGCAGCCGCAGCAGACTGAGGATCTTAGTGAAGCGGACAATGCGGAGCGCCCGGGCCGTCTTGTACACCTCCGAGTCCATCCCTTTCTCCACGATGAGGAAGATATAATCCACAGGTATGGAAGAGACAAAGTCCACCACGAACCAGCTCTTCAGGTACTTCTTCTTGATCTTCTTGGGGTCGAGGATGATCTCGGTGTTGTCCTCGAACACGATGCCGGTCCGGAAGTTCAACACCAGGTCCATGAGGAAGAAGGTGTCAGACACCACGTTGAAGATGATCCAGGGCGTGGTGGTCTCGTCCTTGAAGAAGGTGATGCCCACGGGGATGATGATCAGGTTGCCCACCATGAACATCAGCATGGTGAAGTCCCAGTAGAACCTGATGGTGAAGCAGAGGGAGAAGATGATTAGAGACAGAGACACTGCCACCCTGAACACCGTGACAAATGGTTTAAAGTGCACTGTATCTTGTTCTGGGGAGGCAACCTATACCATCTGACTCAAGACAAGGTCAAACTAAGGACGAGCAGACAGACAGATGGATAATCGGAAAGATGAGCTGGGTGCAGTTCAGTCTAAATCAAAGAACAGACACAGGCACCCATACAGTAACGCTACTGATGGAGGATGTGTCAGCAAAATGCTCCGCAATGCTTAATCATACCACAAAATCAAACTGTAGTTTAGAATTTAAAGCACTGCATTGTAGAGATGAGATGATTAGTTGATAAAGAAACAATTTTGATAATTAAACAATTACAACTTTTTAGGCAAACAAGCCAAATATACTTCAGTGTGAGAATTTCCTGCTTGTCTTTATGTGATCTTAATCTGAAAATCTTTGAGCTGCACCACATTTAAAGACTTCAGGAAACTGCTGATTTTTCCCACTATTTTCTAACATTTTATGGACCAAATACTAAATCTATAATATCTATAATAATAAAACAACCCTTAGTTGCAGCTCTCTATGTGTTCTTGCCATGGTTGCTCACAAAGTCACACTGCTGTCTGGCTGAAAGTACGTGGGAGCCTGCAAAGCAAAGGGAGGAACTGATTGAAGAGCGTTGCTGAGTCATGAATGTTCCCTGACATAATTCCCCACAAAACCGCTAATCAGTATGCTTATTAAATCATAATTTAATGGCAAAATCTGAGTCACAGCCAGTTAAGAGCTCAGAAAGTTGTCTCTCTCTTCAGAATGCTGCTGATGTACACTTGGGATAATTGGAGGAGCTGTCCTCGGTGCTGAAACAGTTGTTCAGACGCATTCCAAGTAAAGACGTAACTTTTCCAACTTGACATCAAGTTCAACAAAGACTTTTTGAGGACACTTGCTTGTTATAAATATATATATCATATTGCAGATACCTTAACGTTTTGCCAAAGTGAGCAAGAGTTGTCCAGAGCGAAAGCATTTAGCAAAACCAACTCAATGTGGGAATCACTATCTCTCTAAGGAAACACAACCCTTTGGCACCCTGACGAAGACCTTAGGGTTGAAACCGGTTGGTGTTTTAATGTAAGCAGCCATGTTTTGAAATAAAGGCTTTTTAACTTTATTCAAATGCATCTGAAGTTCCTTTTTCTTCCCAAAACAAAACATGTCTTCATCTGTCCCTTGAACTGGGGAGATCAAAATAGTCAAAAAATAACAATAATAATTCTTTATAATGGATCAAGTTCTCCTCTTAAGTTTCATTTTTTTTGCTCCTGAGAATTTTAAGAACAAATGTCTAAGGTTAAAATGTCTATATTTGGATATTTGGATCATTTTGTGTAGGTATTTTTGATTTATTTTAATCTTGGCTCCAACTGAAGGAGTTTTTTGAAGATGAAATTCTATTCCCAAAGGACCTTTACGCATACCTGAATTTTTATTATATGTTTTGTCTTTCCTCACACACAGTTCGATAGAATCAAACTCTATCTTCCATGTAGACCAGCTCAGTGTAAGAGTGTGAAGTGTTTATGGACCTAACTCAATTTGACCCATACCTGAAGTCGCTGTATGGGTGGATAATCCAATTACCCGCTGACTTTACGCGCTCCTGCTCTTTCTCCACCGCCTTCTGGCTGCCAAACATGCGCAGGGAGAATTTGTTAACTCCGGGCTGAAGCATTGAACTAAACTGCCGCTGCATGTACGTCCGGTTCTCCCTGGTGTCTCCATCATCCGGCACTATCTGAGAGCCGTCCTCAGCTTTGGTAAAAGTGACAGAATTTCTTGACTGAGTCGGAGTGTGTCCTTTACTAGTTGGGGCGTTGGAGAAGGAAACTCTGGAGTCCTTTTTCTCCATCACTGCCGCGGTCCTGACCTCGGCACTGCCCGGCCCCTGTGTCAGGGGCCCCGGTGAAGTGACAGAGCCGTCCATGCCTGCAGCCTGCCCCTTGCAGTCTTCAGCAGCCACTACTACATCTGCCTGCTTCTCCTGCCTTGAGATGAGAGAGGAGAGGCTCCCTGAACTGGTCGGGTCCCTTCTACAATCTCCGTTTTTGTTGCATATCATACCGATGGCTCCCTCTCCTATCACACCTGCCTCTGAGACTGTGTCCCCTCCAGCAGCATCCCTCCGGCACAACTGAGCAGAGGCTGCGCTGCTGCCACTGGCACTGACAGGTGCGGAGTCCTCCTCGTCTCGCAGGAGCCACAGCTCATTGTTGTTGGAGTTTTTGCGCGCAATGGACGCGGCCCCGCCTCCTGGCGTCAATTTCTTCATCTTGGTTCCTCCGCTGCTCCCATGGTCCTCGCGTCCGGCCGAGCTGAGGACTTGAGGTGGTCGAGGCTGCTGGAATTTGGGCTCCTCCTCGCCGTCCTCCGCCTCGACGTCCATCACGGGCAGAACAAAGACAAGAGGGATGCTCCCAGTACCTTGAACCTGGCGACACTGGGCGGCGGCGGGGGAAGGAGTGAGGAGTTCAGAGCAGCAACAGCCCTCCTGCTTTCCACTCCACCACTTTAGGATAACAGCGCACCGGTGGCGTTGCTATGGCTGCAACCTGGCTACTGTAGTTGTGTGTATGCATGTGTGTGTGTGTAAGAGAGAGATGGCAGCATTACCTTTGGGCTGCAACCACTACAGTTAGATTATATTGAAGATACTATCAAAACAATAACAGTGAAAACTCTATTTTGCTAATAAATAATCACATCAAATTTATTATTAAACACAAATAAAATCACCTGATGGGAGCGAGGAACAGCAGGACAAAGGTGACAGATGAAGGTCACAAGAAACAACCAACTTCTCCTTTGTCATCCACAGCTTTTCTGAAACACACTATAAGCAGATAACCCACTCTGTCATGATCAGGTGACCCATAGTGATTCTAATACTTGATCTAGTCTTTCTTCACTGAGAGACTGTTTCAACAGCGTCTGCCTGTTGCTTTAGGTTGACAGTCTGCCAATATGGTTAGCGACCCTCCATTCTTGGTTAAATGGCTCCACCTTGTGGACAAATACACGCATTGTACCCAAGTTTCCTGAGCACCCATTACACCAGGGGTGTCAAACATGACCCTCTAAAGGTCCCAGTCAGGCCCCCTAGAGGAGTTTGCCAACTAATAGTGATGCACTTGTGAAGGCTAAGAGGTGTCAGATTTCAGGACTAAGTTAAACAGCAGGCATAAGCGTTATATCGTAGGCAACTGGACTTGCTTGCGTTTCTTGAAGACGTTTCGCCTCTCATCCAAGAAGCTTCTTCAGGTCCAACTGACTGGTGTGGAGTGGCAGGCTTTAAACTCTGTGTGGGTGTGAACCCTACAGAGTGGTTAAGATCACATGTGAGACGCTGACCCACCTGGCCATCATGTGTGTCGTTAGGGTCAGATGGGACCAGGTATGACTGGGTGTGAAGTCGTCTGGGGAGGGATCCCAAGACTGCAATTTAGGTGGGTGATAAGTGGTGTTGTAGGTCACCTCCTCTGTTTAACAAGGGTCACTCTAGTTTGACGTAGATGGCTTCTTTCACGTCGCTTTCAAGGCATCTTTATTCAATCAATCAATTTTATTTATAAAGCCCAATATCACAAATCACAATTTGCCTCACAGGGCTTTACAGCATACGACATCCCTCTGTCCTTATGACCCTCACAGCGGATAAGGAAAAACTCCCCAGAAAAAACCCTTTATTCTCTGGCCAAGATGTGAACATTGCTGTCCTCAAAGGAGTGTCCCTTCTTCTTAGATGTAAATGGGCAGGTGAGTCTTGACCTGAGGAGCTGGCTCTCCTGTGCTGTGCCATGTGCTTGTGGAGTGGTTGTTTTGTTTGACCTATGTATAAATCTGTGCATTCCTGGCTGCACTGAACTGCATACACTACATTACTCTGCTTATGCCTGGGTGTTTTGTCCTTAGGGTGTTCATGCTTGTCTAGGTTGCTTCTTCCTACTCCTTTTTGGACATGAAACTTGAATTTATATTTCTCATTTGTCTCTGTTTTGTAGTTTTTTTTCCTACAATATATTCTATTATTATTATTATTATTATTATTATTATCTAAATGTTTGAAATAAATAAATCAAATCTTGCCTCTGTGTTGGATACAGATTGCTGCCTTTGCAATATAAACATCACCTATCTCTTCTGTTCTCTGTGTGCGAGTCCTCCCTTGCTGCACTATAGTCCCCCCCCCCCCTCCAACTACCACACCAGAGAAAAAGACCAACAAAGGACAGTTTTTAGGGCGCAGCGCAACCCTTGTGAACCACTGTATAAAGATTAAAGACATCTGTACTTTACTATGAATTTCAGATGGACTCCGCTACGTTGCATCGTGTTTGTTACATTAAACCATGTCTAACTAAAACTGCTGCTGCTGTCAAAAAGGAGGATTTGATTTTAAGGATTAATTTTACTTTTAAGCCCATACATTGCTGAACCTCTCTGCCCTACTCAAACTCCGATCTCTTAGATCCTATGCACAATGTCTTTTAACTGTCCCACTATGGAAGCTGGTGGGTAAGGGAGATCTTGCCTTTGCCGTAGCTGCTCCAAAGCTCTGGAATAGCCCTCTAGTCTCAAACAAATGCTTCCCCTTCACTGACACTTTTAAGACAAATGTTAAAACATACATGTTTTCAATGGCCTTTGGTTGTTTGTAGTGGTTTTAATATTTTAGTATTTTCATCATTTTACCTATGTAATTGTTCTTACCAGTGTTATTCTTTTTTATAATTGTTTGTATAGTATATCTCTATATATTTGTGTGTCATTCTTTTATTTTGTACAGCACTGTGGTCAACTGCGGTTGTTTTTAAACGTGCTATATAAATAAACTTGATTTGATTTAAAATTACCGCCTTGCAGTTGTATGTCTCTGTGAACCAGTCACAGTTTACATCCATTCCTGTCCAGACTCATACGTAGCCATCAAAGTTGACAATGCTTCAGGTGTTGCTACAAAGATGATGCATATTCTAAAACGTGGATGCTTCACACACATCTTCAACCTGGCAGCACAGGACGTCACCACAATGACTACAGTTTCAAGGTGGAAACTCAAGCTTAGTGTCCCCACGTCAGTATCTGACCAAATATCTCAAGTCTCTTCCTGAATTAAGAGAAGTGTTTTTGAGAAACATTATGGTGTCACAGTGAATTTGACCTTTGACCTTTTGGATATAAAAATGTCATCACTTCATTATCTTTTTCTGTTTGACAATTGTGTGAATTTTTGTCATAATTAGTGGATGAATTCTTAAGTTGTGGCTAGAAACATGTTTTGTGAGTTCACAGTGACCTTGCCTTTTGATCACCAAATTCTTACCAGTTCATCTGTGCATTCAAGTGGATGTTTGTGCAAAATTTGAGGAGATTCCCTGAGGGCCTTCTTGAGAGACTGCGTTCACAACAATGAGACAGAAGCAAAGTCATAGTGACCTTTGATCGCCAAAGTCTAATCAGTTCATCAAGTCCAAGGGAACGTTTGTGCCAAATTTGGAGGATATTCTTTCAAGGCGTTGAGACATCACGTCCATGAAAATAAGACAGATGCAAGGTCATAGTGGCCTCTGATCACACTGATCATAAAATCTGATCAGTTCATTGAGTCCAAGGGAATGTTTGTGCCAAATTTGAGGATATTCCTTTACTTTAAGACGTTCTTGATATTGCATCCATGAGAATGAGACAGACGCAAGGTCATAGTCCCCCTACCTAAACACTTCATTGTTGAGTCCAAGTGCACATATGTGCTAAATTAGAAAAAAATCCCTCAAGAAATGTGATATTACGTTCATGACAGTGGGACGGACGGACAACCTGGAAACATAATGCCTCTGGCCCTGGCTAGTGCAAGCCCAGAGGCATTACAAATAGATGGAGCATGTTTTTTTGGTACGTCTACATCTGCTCAGATGTGCAAAGTTGCAGTGGAGTTCTTGGATTCTCAAAAGTAAAGCTTTGAATAAGGTTTAACCTACATGTTTAAGCATTTCAAAAAGGTATGGGATGAGAAAGACCAAATTAATTCTTTAAGTTTTAAGTTTTTTTTCCTTGTGATCACATTGTGTTTGTTTGCAGGACTGTGACTCCAACAAACAAAGTGATTATGATCAGTGCAGCCATTTTGGCCTCCTCATATACAGTGCTTCCTGTCTCGCTATTCAAGTCACCCTTTGAGTTTAAGGTTGAGCAAGTAAACACAAACACGTAAAATCAAATACCTTTATTCAGTTTGTGCAAGTTGTACAACAGATGGTTGTTCCAGGTATTCGGAAGGTACAACACTTTACACAATTCTGACTAGGTCTTCTTAATTTGTGTAACTCTGAAATGGTAACATCCAATCACAACACTACTCAGGTTAAATGGAACATATGGCTTCTGAATCATCTACACAGTGGAGGGAACAGAGACGACGGCCCAACAATCGCACACAGGATGTTTTTTCTATCTCAGATCACATCAAGTGAGAAAGAAAAACATCTGAAACGATAATCTCCGGTACTAAATATAAACTTCAGTGTGTAGTATTCAAGTTGCGTTCGACAGAAGCAACAGATGTTACTTGCACTTGGTCCTTAATATATTTTTACTCTGGATGTGACATCGGCAACAAAAACATCAGTGACTAAAACTTCGATTTTAAATGTTAATAGGAAAAGGAAATAAAAGCTGGATTTAAAAGGACAAATGCTTTCCTACTAAAAGAACTGTAATTTCTTATGGCAACCAAACCTTCATTAATTATTTCAGCATTTAATTTTAAGTATCACATTTACACACAAAAGAGAAAATGGTGCTTGTTAAGGCAAAGTATAAAACTCTGCAAAAGGAGGTGTGTGGTGGAGTAGGGACAGGTCAAACATGAATTCAAACGCACTCCAGTGGTTGCTATAAGAATGGCAGTGATGAATTAGGATCTAAAATGTTTCAGATCCTCTCAACTGAACTTGTGCTGTTTTGCAAGGAACCATTCCAGATAGAATATAAAACAGGGTTCCCACACATTTCTACTGATGAAGTTTCAAAACCTTTCCTATGACTTTTCCATAATATTCTACCCCATTTCCACGACTTGAAGTTGTTTAAACAGGTAAGCCTATACAGAGATACAGCCATCATTATGAGACACATACTTAAGGCATGTGCACAAAAGCAAGCTCCTGGCGTTTGATAACTTTACTCACTTGTTAGACATTCCTGCCACCAACTAGCTGCATATGCCAACAGACCAGACTGGCACATACAGGTACTTTGCAAGCTGCAGTTAACCAGCTACACATAAGCTTCTGTTTCTCTCCCGATGTCATAGCTTATTTCTCCCCCCCCCCAACAGGGGGCGTGGCCTTGGCAATGATGCCATGCACATCTGGTCTGTGATACTAGTGACATTTCAACAGTCATGCAGCGCAGCAAAAGCTTCAAGGAATGTATTTTGCTTAACGCAAGACATGATCTGGGATTTTTAGTAATGTATTTTAAACTACAGCCAAAAC